GTTTCTATCTCAAATTTGTGAAGCGATTTGTCAAATCTTTGTTCGAACAGCAACATTTACATTTTCTGTTTTTCATTTGTTTGTTTTAGGTACCAAGTTATCCGCACAGTGCATTTTGAAGACGGCGCCATTCTGACCGCCAACTACCGCTACACCTACGAGGGAAGCCACATCAAAGGGGAGTTTCAGGTAAAGCACGTACGATGGATTGATATCGGTATACTATTAAGCTAACCTGGTATATCTAAGTTCACGTTATGGTGTGCATATGATTGCAATAAGTCTGTACCGGAAGCTACAATGTTCAAGGACCCTCATGAGGTGGGGGCAAGGTTAAGGAGAATGATTGCAGTTGCCAAGTTGAAAACATTTAGTCCCTTCCACTCATAGTCCAAAATTAATATATGGCCTCCCAAACACTATTGGACTCCCCCAATCATGGTTGGGAGTAGGTCGGGACCAAGGTCGGCTGTGGTTGGCTGGTGTTCGGTCAGGTCGCAGCTACTGTTCGACTGCGCCAGTTGAATGTTTCAAAGTGTTTAAAACATTCGGGTGCTGACGACTGATAGCTGGTGTTCGGAAATAGGTCGGGGAGTGCACGTGGTGGGCATACTCAGATTTAATTCGATTGGTAAGCGTAGGCTGAATCTGGTCAGATTGCTGCCAAGCTTTAGCCAACCTTGGTGATCAGTTGATGTTTTAAATGTGTGACAGGGGCTTACGAATTATATATTCTTCAGGTAATCGGGGGTGGTTTCCCTGCTGATGGCCCGGTGATGACCAAATCACTGACAGCTATGGACTGGAGCGTGGCCAAACTGGTGTCCCCTAACGACAACACCGTCCAGAGCACCATTGACATGGCATACACGTATGGATGCTTTTTTGTTTACCTTCGCCAGAAGGTTATGTTTTTGGTAGTGCATGTGTGTGTGTGTGCATGGGTGTATGTGGTTTAAACAACTATAAATGTGTCTGAGAAGGTATGGATGAAACTTGGCAGGTGTGTAATATGTAGGTCTTGATAAGACTTCAGAATGATGGAATTTTTGGCCCCCTAGCGGCTTGTTATGGTACATCAGCAGAAATTCCGGCAGAATTTTATATCTTATGGTCCGGACATGCCAGGGTCACGAATTTTGGATGACGGATAGATTTTGTTCTCGGAAAGAAGTGGCAAATGTTAAAACAAAACTGGAAGGCATGGTGGACATATGGTAGACATATGACACCTTTCCAAAGTCACCATGCCAACAAGATCATACTAGTACTTAATACATCACATAACATTACATTTCAATACTGTTACAGTCCAATAACTTGTTGTATTGCCCCCCTCCCCACACCATTCAGCACTACCAGTGGCAAGCGCTACCAGAGCACTGTGCGCACCATCCACACCTTCGCCAAGCCGATGGCCGCCAGCGTCCTGCAGCAGCAGCCGGTGTTCGTGTTCCGTAAGACGGACCTCAAGGCCAACAAGACCGAGATCACCTTCAAGGAGTGGCAGAAGGCCTTCACCGACGTGATGTGAGCGTCCAGTGTATAACATTTGCTTGAAAACACCCAAAAAAACTTCATACTGATTTTCTATAGATACTCAAAACTGTACATGTAGAATGAAGACGAAAAAAGCTTTGTCATCAGGACAATTTGAATGATGTCCTTGCCTCCCTATATCATTTGGCAATCTTCTAAAACGTGTATTTCTCACTGAAATTTGTTTAAATTGTTATAATTTCCGACACGTTTTCACCATTTCACCGTTTGACAGTCATGATTTTCACCAACATTTTTTCTCGCACTATCTACAAGAACAACTTTGGTGAATCTCTTAACACTTGTTTTTCTCACTGTAATTTGTTTAAATACTAATAACATCTATATAAAGACGTTTCCACAATTCAGCTACAGACGTTTGACAATGACAGTTATGATATTTGACCAACATTTTTCTTACACTTTCTACAAGAACAACGTTTCACTTAATAGTGAAGATCCTGATACTAATTTTCTGGCACTTTAATCACTTCGAAGGGGTGTTTTTGAAAGTCAAATGTAAACCTCACTGGACAAACTTCGCATCCTTTTTTTACATTTTTGGTTTTGGCACTGTGGAGAATGCTTTGCCTTTGTTTAGCAGAATGGTAGCAGAAGTTCTATTTTAGGAGCAAAATAGCTGGTTACGCTACTGACAATTTCGATCAAGTACATTGGGAGCCAACNTTCACCAACATTTTTCTCGCACTATCTACAAGAACAACTTTGGTGAATCTCTTAACACTTGTTTTTCTCACTGTAATTTGTTTAAATACTAATAACATCTATATAAAGACGTTTCCACAATTCAGCTACAGACGTTTGACAATGACAGTTATGATATTTGACCAACATTTTTCTTACACTTTCTACGAGAACAACGTTTCACTTAATAGTGAAGATCCTGATACTAATTTTCTGGCACTTTAATCACTTCGAAGGGGTGTTTTTGAAAGTCAAATGTAAACCTCACTGGACAAACTTCGCATCCTTTTTTTACATTTTTGGTTTTGGCACTGTGGAGAATGCTTTGCCTTTGTTTAGCAGAATGGTAGCAGAAGTTCTATTTTAGGAGCAAAATAGCTGGTTACGCTACTGACAATTTCGATCAAGTACATTGGGAGCCAACATAGTTTAACATTGGGAGCCAACATAGTTTGATCTATTTTCAAAATCCAAATACAGGCGCCATTTTGTTTTTTTTTCTCGCGAGATCAGAATCTGACGAGAACGTGCGTGAGGTTGAATCAAAACGAGGCTCACGACGTATTTGAAAATGGGTTTAAAATTTTGATGCGCTTCCCATTCAGTACAATCTTCAGACATACATGTATCACTGTGTGATGAAACAGAACGCAGACAACTGCTACACTTTGTACATCCAATCGGGCTACTAGCTCTAGAAGCTTGATGACCAACAGCTCTAGTTCAGAATGACTGGGAACATCTTAACCCTGTTTCATGGTTTTGTACGTAGACTTTGGTGACTGGTTTTCACAGTCACAGAGAATCCTTCATTTCTATTGGACTAATTTTGATAATGATAAAGAACCCTGAGCTCCTATTTGTAGATATGGGAATGAAAATGGTCCTCTCGAGTTAGACCAAACAGCTGCTAACACTAGTTACAACAAGAACTAGTAAAACGCAAGTTAGAAAAGGCCAGAAAAGACCTCTTTCGCACAAATGGACCGTAAAGCTGAAAATGGCATGCATATTGGTATATTTTGGAGGCTGATAATGTTCATAATGGTAAAAATATATCACTACTCTATCTACACAAGACAATGAGATTTTTATTTCTGTATGTTTCGTTAGAGATGGGTCTATTTCCTGCCATTCTTTTTTCTTGCGAATTTCTTCTTTCATACAATTACATGTATGTTTACTTACTTCTTTGTTATTTCAAATAAAAGCTTTGGGTACTAAAACTTTAAATGTTTTCTTTGTTAATTCATACAATTGATATTAGCGTACACACTAGAGTAGGAACCGTTTGTGTGTGTGTGTGTGTGTGTGCGTGTGTGTGTGTGCATGTGTGCATGCGTGCGTGTGTGTTTGTGTGTGCATGTATGTGTGCATGTGTGTTTGTGTGTGTGTTTGTGTGTGTGTGTGTGTGTGTGTGTGTGTGTGTGTGTGTGTGTGTGTGTGTGTGTGTGTGCGCGCGCGCGCGCGCGATAACTCGAGAAGGCTTGGTTGGATTGCCTTCCTATTTGGTAGGTGAATAGGTTTTGATGAGACCTCAAAGTGTTTAGATTTTGGGCCCCCTAGCGGCTTGTTATGGTATGTGATCGTGGAACTCTAGGTATATTAGGCCATGTTGATTTGATTATATGGATGACATCCACGCGCGCATTAATTTCTGTTGGTTTAAAAAAAAAGCTTTCGACCATACTGTAAATCGTACAAAATGAGTGAATATATGTCGTAGGTTGAAAAAAAAAGTATTGAAAAACGATACTAATGACATTGAATGCCGAAATCAATTCAGGAAAAGAAGAAAATGTGAAGAAATGAAAATGAAAAGTCTATTATTATTCGTCATACCATAATGTGTGTTCAGTCATTTGTTCAACCTTCATTACCACGTAGATTTCATAATGAAGGAAAAGTTTTTTTTTGCAATTTTTTTTATTCGCACGCTTGCATCAGTTTTGGGGTTCCCAAGGGATGTCATCCATATAATCAAATCAACATGGCCTTACCAGTATTGTGTAACAAAATGTGTACCTACTACTTAAGCATCCAAACTAATACATCCCGTTGCTATTTCTAGCTTAAATAGAATTAACTGATTTCACTTTTGGGGACTTTAAACCCCGAAATCCTGTTCTTAAAAGGTAATTCATAGATTTCCACTAGATATTTGACTCAAATCGATGTTCACTGCTGATGCCTGTCTGATCCGCCTGGAGGCGCGGCAACAACACCTGTGACGTAGGCTGCCCACCTAATCCAATTTTCTCTATAGTGTAGGTCTAATTTCGGATAACGTATGACGATCGCAATTTTAGAATGACTGAAATACAGACAATAGTCTACTGAATTCTCTTGGGTGATAATCAGTTCTGTGGCTGCCCGTTTTCCTTTCCTTTTCGATTTGGATGTTCTTTTATGTACTAGCGTTAAAGGAGTAGTGATTTCGTGGCCAATTCAATTAGATTAAGTGTACAACTACGTCACAGGCCTTCTAACTGCGCCGCCTGGCGGATTAGGCAGACATATTACCCCGATTTGTGCAGTACTGGTATGGTGGAAACCTATGAATTACCTTTTGCAAACAGGGTTTAGGGTTAAAAGTCCTTAAAAGTGAAATTAGTCTATTTGTCCTTCAACTAGTAAGTAACTACAAGACTGTAGACAAGACTTGATGTTGTTGTTGACAGTCAACTGTCGGTAAACGTTGTTGACGATCGCCTTAACTTTGATACTGATTAGTTTAACTTATCAGCCAATCAGATCGCACGGTTTCTCCCTCTCGTTTTTCAGACCATTTGCAACAGACGGGCAGCACAGGTGGCCCACAGGTGAATCCATGGTGCTGGACGAAACGATTGTTTTGTCTAACCTGGGGGGTTGAATTTGTTACTGATTTTAATTACCAACGAATCAAATGCAGGTTTGTCATAACACATTTGCTATATTATTTCGACGAATGTACAGATCTAGATTTTCCGGGTCACGGTTTGTTCAATTAAACAAACCTGCTTCATTGGTGTCGCTTAGTCCTAGACATTTACCTGTAAAACAAATGGAACAGTCCCAAGTCGGGCTATAAACCCTTGTCTGTCATTTGGACCACACTTTGGATGAGCAGCTGGTAGTGAGAAGAGCTGTGCTTTAAGAGTTTCGCCAGTCGACATCCTAAGTTCACATCACTGCAAATCATGGTAAGCCATTTTATTCAGCCTTGCAGCGTATACGTAGCTGTTTAAATTTTGACTCTCGTAAGTGGCCTGGAAGAATATTTCTGGTTGTACTCTTTCCTTTCCAGCAAAACTTGCTCTAAGGCAAAACTCCCTCGGTCTCAATCCGCGGCATAACTCGCGTCGCTTCCGAAAAAAAAATCAACGCCGCCGCCCCACAAGTCGGCGAAGGAGGCCAGAGTTCATGGCATTCTTTATAGCTTTCCATGACTTACTTTCTTACTTGCCTCTGAATATTCTCATGGTAAAAAGCCTTGCATTTTCTCCGTCTGCAGCCTTACACGTCTTCCATAGTGCGTAGACTGTTATTGTTACATCTCTCTTGTTTTTATTGATGGTATAATGCACTTATATTTCAGTCTTTCCCGACAAGCCACGACCTGCACATCCATGGCTCCATCAACGGTTTGGAGTTTGATATGGTGGGAGGCGGTAGCGGCAACCCTAAAGACGTAAGTGCGCTCTGCAGTATGCTGTACGTATAGAATACAACACGATATATTCCGTGTCTCCAGAGATACGCACCAGCCCGACCATGGGCGGAGAGAGACCCAACCCGCGGGAGGCCTGGGCCGAGCTACGGAATACAGTGTTGACAGTATTTTTTATCACATCCACCCAAGAAGAAATAGTCAAAATTTGCTGTCCTTAAACCAAAACAAAATGAACAATGAGAAAGCGTTGGAGTGAGTTTGATTTGATTTGATTTATTAGGCTGAATAATACATGAGTTTGAAGTCATGATGTCGACACGTGTCTCCGTAGTTCACCTACTGGGTTGGATTCCTAAAAGTTTTTTTTTTTTTATATTCAGACATCTAATCACAAGACGTGGTGACGGCACACTCAAGTTTTTTCAACTTATATTAATGCCGCCACCAACACAGTGGACAATAAAATACTCATTTTCACCTGAGCGAAGTGAGGAAAGTCGTGTAAAGTGCCTTTCCCAAGGACACAAGATTGGTGGCATGTCAGGACTCGAACCCGGGACCTATTGATTGCGAGTCGAGCACTCCGCCGCTACGCCACACGACCCCACAAAGTTTAAAGAAATTAGTCTCAATAAATTAGATAAGCAGCCAAGAATTTAATGACATTTTCAACAGCGTTGCTTTATCAAATTCATGTAACACCGTACTTTACTCCTCTCCCACCAGG